TTGTAGAACTTGCGAAGATGATGGGAATTCCAGGTTCTTTCTACCGGTACACCTTCAAGAGTTTCTAACCGGTAGGTTCCCGGGCGAATGATAGCTCTCACCCGGTAGGGCCCTTCCCAGTTTTTGGCTAGCTTTCCTCCGTCTCCCGGTCTACTAGCCTCCCTTCTTCGCAGGACTTCATCACCGACTTGGAAATATCGCGGCCCAACCTTGTTGTCGTGGTATTTCTTCACAACTTGTTGGTATGTGCTCATTTTAACTTCCGCGGCCATTCTCCGCTCTTCGACCAAGTTGAGTTCGGCCAAGTGATCTTCCTCGTTCTGCTGGGGTTGATAATTTGATTCCCGAAACGTTGGAAATTCGGCTTCGATGGGCAGCCTTGCCTCACACCCATAGGTTAGGGAGAATGGAGTTTCCCCATGAGCCCTCCCGGGTGTTACTCGGAACGCCCAGATGATATGTGGGAGCTCTTCCAGCCACTTGTTTCCCGCTTCTCCCAACCGTTTCTTTAGGCCATCCACAATCGTTCGATTGACGTTTTCAACCTGGCCATTTCCTTGGGGGTACGCAACCGAGGAGCGATTGTGCTTGATTCCAAAGCCCTCCAAGTATTCAGTGAATCTTGGATTTCGGAATTGTGGGCCGTTGTGGTAATTAGGTTCATGGGAGCCCCAAACCTGGTGATGATGTTCTTCCAAATGAACTTCTTTCATTGCTGCGTGGTGATATTGGCCAAGGCTTCGGCTTCAATCCACTTGGTGAAGTAATCGATGGCCACGATTACAAATTTCTTCCCCCCCTGGGCAATTGGGAACGCTCCGATGATATCAACCCCAAATCTGGCGAATGGGATGACATTTGATACGGGGTGATAGTAGGTCGCCGGCCTACCGGGGTACTTGTAGAACACCTGGCAGGTTCTGCACTTCTGAGCGTACCTCTCACAGTCTTGGACAATTGTTGGCCAGTAATACCCCAACAGGATGATTCGCTGTGAAAGGGTGCGGGACATTTGGTGTGCTGCGCATACACCTTCATGGACTTCTGCTATGACTCGTTCAGCCTCCCGGTTGGTTAGGCACCTCAGGAGGGGTCCCCCGAACGCTCTTTTGTACAGCTTTTCGTCAAGGACTTGGAACCGGGGTGCCCGTAGCTTCACTTTTCTTGCCCGGTCATCTTGTTCCGGCAAGGTTCCGTCCATCAGGTATTCCATCAGATCATACATCCAGTGGTCATCCGCTCCGACAAAGTTTGACCGGTCAGGTTGGTCTGCTCCTGTTATGGCGGCTACTTCCAATTTTTCAATGCTTGCATGATCAAGAATTTCTACCCGGGCAAGTTTCGAAACATGCTCGGGGGCATATTGCGTCAACTTTGAGAGAAGGTCTACATCTGCATTTTCCGCCCGGGGGATTTGGGCTATCTTGAATTCGTCGAAGCCTTTCAACAAGGCAAGTATTAGGTCCTTGTACTGCGCCATTCGACCTTCTCTAGCTTCCATGTTACCGGTCACTTGCCCGATGATCAAACTGGAATCAGATTTGATACTGACCTGGTCGATCTTCAGGGCTTGGGCGAGTCTGAGCCCTCCAGCCAGAGCTTCGTATTCTGCTTCATTGTTCGTCAGCTTGAAGTTGAAGACGATCGCATGGTAGATCTTGAACCCTTCTGGGGTGGTAAACACAATCCCACCCCCATATCCTCTAGGGCCAGATGCCCCGTCTACCGCCATCTCCCACCATTGCTCAGTGGGTTTGTTGACCGGTGGGTCTAGAGTTAGACCGGTCATTTCTACCAGGAAATCCGCAAGGGCCTGCCCCTTGATTGCCGACCTTGGCCGGTACTCAATGTTGAATTGAGTTAACATCATCGCCCATTTCACCATCCTCCCGGAGGATGTTGAATTTCGCAAGACTGCACCCAGCGGTTGGTCAGTCAAGACTTCTACCGGGTGAGCTTGGAAGTAGGATGTTAACTTTTTTGCGGAGATGAAAAGCGCGTAAGCTGTCTTTTCCATCGCCGTGTATCTACTTTCTGCTCCGTTCAGTGCCTTGCTCACATAATAAATGGGCTTTTGTGCCCCATCATCTCTTATTAAAACAGAGCTTACAGCATTTGGGGAAATTCCCAGGTACAAATACAGAGTTTCACCCGGCTGGGGTTTAGCCAATACAATATCTGACACTAGGTACTCTTTCAGCTCCTCGAATGCCCTCTGGCACTCCTCGTCCCATGCAAACGTATTGGCCTTCTTCAGGACTTTGAAGAAAGGCAAGGACCTCTCAGCTGACCGGGAAAGGAACCGGCTGAGTGCCGCTAGGCGACCGGTCAACTTCTGGACATCCCTCACAGATGTGGGGGCCTGCATTTCAGTGATAGCCCGTATTTTTTCTGGGTTGGGCTCTATTCCTCTCTTGGTCACCATGAATCCCAGGAACTTCCCGGTGCGAACCGCGAAGACACATTTCTTAGGATTCAACCGGAGGTTGTATCTTGCCATGATATCAAATGTGGCACGCATATCAGCCGGGTGACTGAGGGATACTTGGCTTTTGATCAGCATGTCGTCGACGTACGCCTCCATGGTCTTCCCCAGCAGCGGCTTGAAGAGCTTGTTCACCATGCGCTGGTAGGTTGCCCCCGAGTTCTTCAAGCCAAACGCCATCACCCGGTAGCAGTATGTTCCTTCGGGGGTGAGGAATGACGTTTTCTCTTCGTCCTCCTTGGCCATGTAGATTTGGTGGTAGCCCTTGAACGCATCCATGAAACTTAGGAGTTCGCACCCCGCAGTTTCGTCCACCATCTGATCTGGACTAGGGAGGGAGTATGAATCCATCGGACAAGCCTTGTTCAAGTCCGTGTAATCCACACACATTCTCCATGTGTCCCCCTTGGGAGCAAGGACCACGTTGGCCAGCCATTCCTGGTACTTGACTTCCCGGATGTGACCCACACTAAGGAGGTCTTTCACCTCCTTCTTGACGAAGTCTCGCCGGTCACTGGCCAGGTATCTTTTCTTCTGGCGTACCGGTCGACTTCCATCTCTTACAGCCAGCCGGTGGCAGATGATTGAGCGGTCAATTCCGGGCATATCTGCAACGCTCCATGCAAATATGCCCGCGTACTCTTGGAGCACCCGTGTAATCTCTGCCTTGAGATCTTCTGGGAGGTTTGCTCCAATTCTGACCATCCTTGATGAATCACCAGGGTGGAGTTCGATCTCCACCGTTTCCGCTTCAGGCTCCAGCTTCTCCCGGGTCTCTCCCCTGGTGATTTCTTGGGAGATGACGTTGACCCCCTTGGTCATTTTCTTGACTGCCCGGGCATAGCACTCCCTGGCGTTCCTTTGGTCGCCCCTCGCTTCACCCACACCGCCTGGTGTGTGGAACTTCATGCACAGGTGGGGCATGGAAATCACACCCCCGACTTTGTTGATGCCTGGCCTTCCAAGGGTTGCGTTGTGGACGCACTTGATGTCCACAACAATGAACCACATCCTTTTCCACACGGTCTTTTCGCCTGATCCTAGTTCGACCGGTAGAACTATGGATCCCTCAGCTTCAACTGTATCTCCCGTGAAACCTGAGAGAGGGGTTTTGAGGGCTCAAGTTGTGTTCGACACAACTTGAGTTTCTGGAAGGTCTCCAGGTAGAGGATGTTGACACTACTGCCGGTGTCAACAAGTACCCGGGCGACGTCCACCCCATTGATGTCCATGGTGATGACCAATGGATCATTGTGATCTTCACCGGTAGGAGGGAGGTCCCGGTCAGTGAAGACTATTGGCTCCCTCCTGGGATACTTGCGCCTGGCCGGTTCAGCACTTACTTCACCCACGTAAATGCTGCGGACCCAGTTTTTCCGCTGCGCGGCTGAATCTCCCCCTTCGGGTCCGCCGAAGATCATTCCAATATGCTCTTTGTCAGGGGGAGGTTGTTCCCTCGGCCGGTTGGTCCTCCGCCGGTCATTGTCCCGGTCGTTCTCCTGGGTTGCCGGCCTAACCCATTGGTGGTTCTTCTCTTGGGCTTTCTGTAGATAATCTTTGCCCAGTTCCCCGCTATCTATCATCTGCCGGATTACTCCCTTAACACTCTTGCATTCTGAGGTGTTATGGGAATCTGACCGGTGGTATGAGCAATAGGTGCCCGACCACTGGCGCCCAGTTTGCCCGGTGGTATTTTCCGGAGGAATGACCGGGTAGGTAGCCGGTGCTTTCCTTATCTCCTGGCACTCTTCTGTGTTGACCACGCGGACGACCGGGTCATAGTGGTGTCTTGGCCGGTTGGATCCCGGCGCCTCTTCCTTCTTGACTTGCACCGGCTTGGGCTTATAACCATGCTCAGCTTCTTTCTTCGCCCGAAGTTGAGTTTCAGCCTCAGCAAACTCCCATGCAGTGTGGTAGGCCTCCTGATACGTGGCCGGGGGTTTTCGGCAGAACTTCTTGTATAGCTCCCCGGCACGTAAGCCATTCAAAAGAAGGGACAACACGGTTTTGTCATCCATCTCTTCCACCTTGTCTACCTCTTCCTTCCACCGGGTAAGGAATTGGGTGAGGTTCTCAGATTCCATCTGCCCGGCCGTACTAAGATAGATGAACTTCTTCCTCTTAGTACAGTTCTCTTGGAACTTGGCCTTGAATTTTGAGGCCAAGTCACTGAACGAGTCAATACTTCCCGGGCGAAGTTTGTTGAACCATTCAGTGGCTCGATTCCGCAAGGTCTGGAAGAAAAGGAGGCACTTTTCTTCATCTGTGCAACCGTTCATGGTTGCACTCTGATTGAAGGAGTCCAGGTGGATTTCTGGGTCCTCCTTACCGGTGAACCTTGGGGCGTCTATCTTAACCTTTCGCGGGAAAGGTGTCAGATGGACCCTTGCGGTGAACGGGGAGCCCGCGAGAGGTTTGTCCCGGTCACTCTTCTCCCCGACTTTCTTTTCCAGCCTCTCCAACTTTGCCTCCATCTGCTGGACGCGGTCGTTGGGGATAGTTAACCGGTCAGCCACCGGTACCCTAGGCTGGCTTTCTGCTTCCTCTTCCTGGTGAGAGGCCCTCGTCCTGGCGGGCTCCCGCCGGTTTGACCGGGAGCGTTGGGTGCGGGCAGGCTCGGCCTCCCTCA